GATAGGGTGAATTCTAAGTCCCTCATTCATAGGGTCACCATAAATCGAAGTCAGCTTCGCCAGCATTTAACAACAAAGAGAGGATAAGCAGGGGGCAGAATCTTGCGTTTCCCAGGAGGTTTAGGCAAAACCAAACTGCTGCAGTCTCTGTTAGCTTGTATGTTCCTCCTGACTAATACCTTGTGCCATCTTGACCACACATGATGCTGCTTGCCACATAAGCCCCAGTCTTCATTTGGAAATGTTGGAGGGTATGCGTTTCCCATGAGTACTTTGTCAATATTCAGTTTTCGTTGAACCTGGAATGGTGGTTTTAAGATTTTACTTTTCTGTCTAAGGAGCATTTGTACTTTGGTAATTCTTTGGTAATTTTGTACTTTGGTAATTGATGCATCCCTCTTGTTTCTCAGTATTGTTGTTTTGGCTCCGTTTCTTCCCAGGAGCTGAGCTGATTATTGGAAGAACTGATGGAAAGCATCCATATGAATTGCAGAAAAGGGCAGATTTTCACCATTCCTGCAAGGCTGGCAAACAGTGTACAACAGAATTAAGTTGTGTTTTGTTGTTTGTTTGTTTGGAAGAAAGGAAGGAAAGTATGGCCTTGGTGGTTTCTATTAAGATACGTTCCACCCTCAAGTGGTGGTTTCTTGCCTGCCAATCTGCCTGCCTTAAACTAGTTTGGATTTCAGTGGCACATCTTGTGGCAGATGTTGGGAAGAGCAGCTGATGACTGTAAATGGCATATGAATGCAAAGCAGATGGCTTGATTTGGCAACCGTCAGATTTTCTGTTTTGGAATTGCAGGAAAGAGCAAGAAAGTGGAATACTGCATTAATTGCTGCTGCTACTGTTTTTAGTTGGTGCAGTGTCTCAAAAGTATAGAGCTGAGGGAAGGAGGACCATGTAATCTTTGTTGATGTGATTTTTTGTTTAAAAAATGAGTGCCCAAGGTGGGATGTTTGTGATTAGACACAAACCACTGGGATCAAATAATAAGTTCTTTGTGTTATTATATAACTTCCATTCATTTCAGTGGGGTTTGTGAAAAAAGCAGTGGAGGGGGAGATTTTGCATGAGTAAACATTTCTGTTTACATAGAACTCTACTCATTCATTGGTCTCTTTAAGTAGAGCCCCTGCCAGAAACAGGATCCAAAATCCCATTTTACTGTGTTTGTTTTTAAAGCCATTATTCAACAACACTACAAACACTCGGAAAGAGGTAGCATAAAGAGGGTGCTGAGACGTTCCCAAAAGCAGCAGCTGGAGCCCCGTATGTGGCAGTTGCTTTCCGAGACGGTTTTGTTCCACCTCTATTATCCCACTCAGTCCTGCTTGCTGGTATTGTGTGCTGAGGGCCATATGTCCCATCTGCTCTGCACAGACTTTCTATTGGCAAGGAGAGAGGTGGCTTTTTCTGCTTGCATCTGATTCTCCACCCAGGCAGAAATCCAAGCTTAGTTGAAACTCCACCTCCCACTTAGCAAAAACAACATCACTACCAACACAATAGACCTGTTTGATTTTCCTTGCCTTGCCTAAGAAAACCCTATGAAATTCATGGGGTTGCCATACGTCAGCAGGTGACTTGAAGGTGCATGCACATGCATCTAAAGCTACAAGCTTTGAGAGACTGCTGCTCTTAAAGAATTATGTTATTGCAAAGCCAAGAACATATCCGTATCTTCTCTATGTGTTAAAAGTATTTGGCCAGTAGTTTGGGGAGATTAGGAACAGTGTATAAATATGGCAACTTCATTTCCAAGTTCAAATTACAACAGGATAGTGAATAAAGGTATATTTCCAGAATTAATTTCTATACAGAAATTTTGACATATTTTTTTCAAGTTTTGGGGTATTGCATCAAATGATTTTCCTAACCAATTTGAAAAAGTCCTCAAAATGCTGCCAGATTCTAAGGTAGACTAAACTGATTTCTTTTTTCAACAGAAGTTATGCAGCACAATCAGAGGTATGTGATATTTATTTTATTCAAGAGGGCTTACTCCCAAATGAATATGTGAAGGATTGCTTCCATAAACAGTCTGTAGTACTTTGTTTAGACTTTTACATTTTATACAGCATAAATCCAGGTTTTCCACCCTATCAGCCACTTCAGGCTCTTTGGTATATTGTATGATAACATGTTTACAAGAATAACATAATAAATAAGGCAGTTGATTCAGATTACTCCCAAAACAAATTAGGCTGATTCAAGCCTAATCAGATTGGTCCAATTTAGTACCAGAGCAGAATGACAGAGTTGGAAGCAATTTGGACCAATCTGGAGGTCCAGATATGAAATATAAGCAGGGAAAATGTGTGTTTCCAATATCAACATATAGGCAAAGAAATGAGGTGATGTGATGCAGGGGAGTGGGGAGCTCTAATGTACAATCTTGTGTTGTTGTTGTTAACTGCCCACAAGTCGTCCTCCACTCCTGCCAACCCTGTGGATGAGATATCTCCAAGCCCCCCCCCCGCCCCCATCCTTCACTCATCTGTCTAAGTCTTGTAGATTCACAGCCATGGTCAACATTTTTTTTATCAGTGCACTACAATCACATCCTGCATATTTTTGTTTTTAGAACTGTTAGTAGATCATTGAAAGAGCTGTTGTGATGGTGTGGGCAGTTGTAGTTGTTATCTGACTCTAATCTCCCTGCAACTCTCTCTTTTAATCTCTCAAACCTTGTTGAGTAGCTTCATTTGATCCTCTATTTGTCTCTCTTTCTTCTGGATTGTTTCTAAATTGTGTAAGGAAATGATAGTATTGCATAGAACCTGATCCAATTTTGGGGGAGATGGGACTCTTGAAACCTGGGGGGTATAGACAACATGGATCATGCCCAGCAGAGGGGGCCTGCCTTCACCCTCCGTTGGCAATGGATCCACGCAATGTTTTTTGCTCGTATGGAGTCCCATGTCTTCAAATTACTCCCAGCAAGTGGGGCTAGGAAACTAGCGTCACTGGACAATAGATAAGCTGTGTGATATCTGGAACCAAGCTTATACAGGTGAAATCAATCAAGTTTGTAGCCTTTCACATTTCCAGCATGAGAGTGTGTGCATCATTTGCCAAGCATTATCCCTCCCCACTTCATTGACAGGCCCAAATTAATTGTTTATGAGTCAGTATATGGTTTAGATAGTGAAACTTACTTTTCCTCACTCTCCAATTGATCCTAGTTGCTCTTACATATTCAGTTTGGTTTCTTAGCATGATTCATTTTTCAAAAATCATGGCCAGAATCCTAGATGAGACTTCCATCTTCATAAGTGGACTTGCATGTGCAGGAATTAGAACTGTGAAGAAGAAAAACAGCCATATCCAGTAAAGGGCTGCTGTTATGTAACTATGGACTTTATCACACGGGAAAATCAGGATTCAAAAGGCATTATCTGGGGAAGGTTGTGCAATCATGGCTAAGATTATCGCACACATCATGATTACAGAGGGCTTATCCCAGGAATAACCAGGGAATAACCAGCAACAAGTCATTCATGGGATTCCCCCGTGAATGATTTGTTGCTTCTGGTTATTCCTGGGATAAGTCCAATCTAATCGCGACATCATATGATAATCTTAGTTGCAATCACACAACTTTCCCTGGATAGTGCCTTTTAAATCCCCCAATTGCCCCCATGCGATAAAGTCCTATGTAGCAGAGATGGCAAAGGACTGATGCACAGTGGGACTAGTTCACATCACATTGATCCTGACAGCATAAAAACGTCCAAAAAAAAAAAAAAAAGCCTGACAGCATAAAAACGTTTTTACCTGCTGGTAAAAGGGAAGCAGGGGTGACTTCATCCGTTTTTATGCTGTCAGACTGATAAGGGTTGGGCATTTAAATGATGTGCTGTTGAGGTTTGCATATAGTTTTTAATACATTTTAATATTTCTAATATGCAGTATTTTTAATTTTTTAAAAATTGTTGGATTTTTAAACTGTATATCTATATTTTAATGTTTTTGGATTCTTTTTTGCTTGTTGTCTGCCTTCAAGGCATTTCCAGCTTATGATGACCTTATAGCTATCATGGGGTTATCATAAAAACCCCATCATGGGGTTTTCTTGGCCATTCAAAGGATTGCCATTTCCTCCCCCTGAGACTGAAAGTATGTGACTTGGCCACCCTGTGGTTTCATGACTGAGCTGAGAATCAAACTCTGATCTCCAGAATCATAATCCAACACTCAAACCATTACGTCACACTGGCTAATAAAGCTTGTGCTGTTTTATATTTGTTTGTAGCCACCTTGAGTCTCTATATTGGGGTAAAGGTGGGCTACAAATAAATAAAGTAATAATAATAACCTTCACAATTCTCTAACATGGTTTCTTAGTGCTTCTACTATGCAGTTAAGTGTATGCAATTTTTCATTCAGTGAAAGGTCACATAGGATTCTGGTGCATTTGTCTAGTTCTCTGTATGCAATTTTGGTCTGCTAACAAGCACATTCATTTAATTCCTAAAGCACTTATTATACTGCACATTTAATTCATATTGGAAAGCAAAGTAAGCATAATTGTGTTGTCGTGCATTTGGCTGAGCAAACAAGCCACTAAATTTAATTTCCATGTTATCTTCTCATTAGCTAAGCATCATTTACAATTTTAACCATTGTTATTATTGCCACTACATTTGAGCAATCATGAGACATTGCTGCAGCCATAATACAAATCCACATGATGACCCTTGTCACAGAGAAATGCAGATGAGTTTGTCTTCACTCCTGGTAAGATTGCAGGTAGCACTTGTTTTTGTGGTTGTGGGAACAAGCCTGCTTCACTCCCAGTAAGACATCAAGGGGCTGAGAGTGATGACAATGAAAGTAAGTTTATTTCCACTGTCAGGATGGTTCTATTTGAGAAAAAGTGACAAATTGTTTGGAACCACTCTGGAGCAGGAATAGATCCCAGGATTACTACCTACCTTCACTGTCATCACTAAGTGAGCCAGGGTTAATTGTCATTGTATTATACCATCAATAGAGGCAACATGGCATAGTGGTTTGAGTGTTGGACTATGACTCTGAAGTCCAAGGTTTGATTCCCCATATTGGCCATGAAACCCAATGGGTGATCTTGGGCAAGTCACACTCTCCCAGCCTCAGAGGATGGCAATGGCAAACCTCTAAATAAATCTTGCCAGGAAAACCCCATGATAGGTTCACCTTAGAGTCATCATAAGTCCAAAATGACTTGAAGGCACTCATCAAAAACAGTCTGGCCAAGCAATTTATATGACAGTATTCCTCAGGAGAGAGACAGAAAAGTCCCAAGAACCATTCAGCAGAGGAAAATCCCATGGTGCAAAAACAAAAAATGCTGAATTTTTTTTGCAGCAGCTCTCATTCCTTCCTCCTTGCCAAAATTTAGTCAGGCAACTATCAAAGAGACAGGGTGGTGAAAGGATGATCCCTGAGAGAGATGCTTCAACCATTAGTTCAGACTGCAAAATGCTTTTGAGAAAGGATTTTTTAAAATCAAGTTCCTATTAGTTGGTACTGGGAAATAATCCTCTCATCACCCTCTGCTTCTTTATGCTGTGACACTGAAGCTCACGAGCTGGGCTGCTGGTAGAATAAAACAAAAACATCCTTTCCTCAAGTATGTTATTTTATTTAACAAATCTAACTGATTGATGTTTGCCATCCTGACCCAAGTGAGAAGTAGCTAAAAACTGATGCTCTGCCTCTCATCCTGGCTGTCTCCCTCATCGTCTCTGCCAAACACACTGTTGCTAGTGTGCTTGAAAGTCTCGCTGCCTTTGCCCTTTTTTGGGACAGTACTTCATCTGTAGAGTCCGGGGAATGTCTAGGCCCTCTAGGAAAATGTCCTAAATGTAGGAGGACAGTGCCACAAAAAGGGATCATGAATTGCAACAACTCAGGAGTCAACATTTTAAAAATTGGTATATATCCTTTTGGGGAAAAACCCACAGATTCAGAAACAAACACAATGGGCCTATACAAACTGCCAGAAATAATCCAGTTTGAGGCCACTTTAACTGTTCGGGCTCAGTGCTTGGGAATCATGAGAACTGTAGAGCGCTCTGGTGCCACAATAAACTACAGTTCCCATGATTCCCTAGCACTGAGCCAGGACAGTTAAAGTGGTCTCAAGATGGATTATTTCTGGCAGTCTGTATAGGCCCAATATCTCCAAACACTACCTATCTGAAATGTGAGTGGGTTAATCATCCATTCAAGTTGTCTCTCCAAATGTTATGAAAATGTGTGAAAATAATCAAAAAGTTATAAGCTTCCCAGTTCAAGTCAATGGTTATCCAAATGTCCACATCTCGACTCAGATGTGCGGATTTAGTCAGATTAGATTGGATATAATTTGATCTGAACAAAAATGGAACCGAATCTGGATGGCTGAATCTTCAAGTTGAATTGCATATACAATCCTAATAAAGTGGAAAGTAATGCAGCTCAAGGTTTGAACAAAACCTTTATTTAAAAGGTAGAGCAAGGGCAAACAACTTTGGTAGAGCTGAGGATCAGTTTTATACTCCCAGTATATGTGGGCTACTGGGCCCCAAAATGGTAAAAACATGGGGGGTGTAAAAAGGGGGGGAAATCAAAATCAGAAATAATTGGACATGCACTTTTAGGTATGGCTCTTGGCTTTTTAGGACTGATGGGTGGAGGACAGCTTTTCAACATGGAAGAGTTGGGGAACCATAACCTGCCAAAAATGGGAGGGGGCATTGTGCAATATGAACCATATTTTGATTACCACTGTCCTAAAAAGCCACTGTCCAATCTCTCCACTGTCCATTTAGGGAGATTCTGGGAATTACTACTGTAATGTGCTCTACTTGGGGCTGCCGTTGGAGTGTGTTCAGGAATTTCATATGGTCCAAAAAGCTGCAACCACGCTGTTATCTGGGACAGGATACAGAGCCCCTATTACACTCCAGTTAAAACAACTCCGATGGCTTAGTTTGTTTAAAGTTCTGGTTTTGACCTATAAAGCCCTATGCAACTCAGGTCCAGGTTATCTGGCAAATCATATCTCCTTGAATGAGCCTCTCCAGTCTCTGAGATCATTAGGAGAGGCTGTTTTCTCAGTCCTACCACCATCGCAAACATGGTTGGTAGGGACACGAGACAGGGCCTTCTCGGTGGCCGCCCCTGAACTCTGGAACTCCCTTTGTGGGGAGGCCAGAATGGTCCCCTCCTTGTTATCCTTCTGTTGGTAGGCTAAAACCTTTTTATTCAGACAGGATTTTAAAGTAGAAAGTTTTGCAGGAACAGGCTAGGAGGAGCTGTATTGTTTTAACTGATTGGTTTTAAATAGATTTGTTATCTTTTTTTTAAAAAATGGCATTTTATTATTTTAACTTGAGGTTTGAATTGTTACAATACTGTGAATAATCTTTAATTATATTTTAATTGTTCACTTTGTTTAGGTTTTTAATTTGTCTCGTTGCTTTCAATTGTGAGCCACTTTGAGTCCCAAGTTTGGGAGAAGAACAGGGTATAAATAAATATCACGACAAAGATACTGTTGTCATTTGAGTCCATTACTTCTTTCAAAATACTACATATTACAACAAAATGGGTCTTGAAAGTCATTCCAGTTTGGAGAGGGTGGAGGCAGCAATCATTTTCATTCCTCCTTATGAATAAGTGTACTTTAGATTGGTATCCACTGTCTTGAGCCCTGCAGAAGCTGCTGCTTTTGTCACCTCATTCAGGCTGTGCAGGGTCTGTGAACTTTATGGTGTTAACTTTTACTCCATTAGGCTGAAAGCAGCATATTTACAGGTAAGGCTCTTTGTTGGATGCATTTGACGTGATCAAAGGATCCAAATGCTCAGGAAGTCATTGAACAATCACCTTACGTTTAGCCTTTGAAGGGTTCTAGACCTGGAAGGACTCTGTTACGAAACCCAGACAGGGTCAGCCTGCAAAATACAATATAAAACCACCCATGTGTCTGAAAAAAATGTATGTCAGCTTGAAGCAGTCTGTTACATATTGTAAACCCTCAGCTAGAAAGTCTTTAAAAGAAAGGATTTCCTGGTACTGTTTATCATTTTATTTCACAAATGCATTAAACCGATGATGATGATGATGACGATGATTCTGCAATTACATCACAGGAAAGAGACACATACTCCCACCTACAAAAAATTAAAACTGAGCTTCTGTGTGGAAGCCATTGAAATTTGTAAGTATGTCATATCCTCACACATACAGAGACATTTGCATACTGGTATCCTCACACAATGTAAGAATACAGACAATTTGAAAAAGTAAAGAATTTTGGAAATACATAAAGAGAGAATTAATTAAACAAAGTATTCCTTTGTTATTTCAGTAGCTATGGCATTTCTAAAATAGTCTTTGAGTTTTTATGTTTCCACCATTGGAATGTATATACACATTTACATATACAAAATGACCTTGTCTGCAATAAAGCAAAACATACTTATTTATATTTATTGAATTTATACCCTGCTTTTCCCCTAAGGTGGCATCCAAGGTGGCGTATCCAACACTTTTCAATGCCCTCTCCATAAAAAGTCCTATCAGGCTCTCCATCTCTTTAACAATGTGACACCAAATTATGAGGAGTAGCTAATATCCTGCTAATACAGGATCAAAATTCAAATTAACCTTAATAGATTAGAAAATTGGGCCAAAACTAACAAAATGAACTTCAACAGGGAGAAAAGTAAGCTACTACACTTAGGTAGAAAAAATGAAATGCATAGATATATGATGGGGGACACCATGTTAGTGAATGTGCTCCATTTTTCCTATATATTTTAGCCATGTGGAGTTCCCTACGACCCCAGCCTGACCCTTGGGAGATGGCAGCCATAATCCCCTAAATGTAAGGTCAGGTAAGCAAGCTGAAATTGCTTGAGACCACTAAAGATTTCCTGGACAGGCAGGTTTTGGGAGTTGCCCTTGGGAATATCCCATTATGTTGAAAAAGATACATAATGGTGTTTGTTTGTCTTAGTCTCACACTTAATGGAACAGTGATCAGATTTGATTGCACCCCTTTCTCTAGCTTCCTTTCCTTGATAGTTTTGAAACCAAATGCATTGTTTAGACTATGCCCAGACTTAGGTAAACAATAGTAAACTCAACAAACCTTTGTCCATCTATTGTTTAACTCATGGCCAGGAGGCAGAAATTCCCTATAAGAACCCCTGGATTTTAGCAGACCTCGTGCTACCTTGGAAGTGCATGCTGAATCTCTGTTGGTCTGCGCTCTGAGATAGTTCCCACGACCCCCTCTCTTGCTGGTCATGCCCCTTCCATGGAACTCATCCTCATTCGCTGCCAACAGTCCTGAGGAGTCTCTCAGGCATAAGTATATTCCTCTATCCTGGTTTCCCTCTTTGCCTTCCCCTGCTCTTGCTCTTTCCCGCTTGTCTTCTAGAGTGTGTGTGTCGCATTTGAATGTTTGCTTGCTGTATTAATAAATATTTTAGACTTTAATTGGAGTTCGGTCCATTTCAGTGTCATTCCTTGCCAGAACTCTTACATCTCTGGTATACAATTGGATAAGGTCTCAGAAGTGAAGTTGGGCGCCTCCCTCTCACATTTGAGCTAATTATAAATTCCCCAAAATTAGGTCTTTGTCTCCCAACAACCAGGCTTAACAAGACTACATGTGAAAGGGATCTAGGACTAATAGACCACAAGTTGAACATGAGTCAACAGTGTGATGCGGCAGCT